AAAAAAAAAAAAACAGTAATTATAACTTATTACTCAACAAAATAAACAACCATTTAGCTTTCTAGTGATAAAACACTTGTAGACTAAGACAATATTTACACGTTAACATTTAAAAAAATAAAGTAATTAAAACTTATTACGCATTTAAAATAAAATAATAAAATCACCTACTAGTGATAAAACACTAGTAGACTAAGAGAACATGCTAAAATATTTACATGTAAGTTATTTAAACTTACTACGCATAAAAAATCTTCCTTGTATATAATTTTTGAATATGCTGAGCTTAAGTGACAGACTCGCACGTTTTTTAAATCCTATGTGGCAAAATTTTAAGCTTTGTTGTTAGGCTTGGAATATCCATAAATATAATGGATATTTGTGGTCATTTTTAAGAACATTAATTACGTAATATCATTTCCTATTGTAGACGTGGTTTATATGGTATATTTTTTCCAATCTTTCTTTTTTTTTTTCTCATATTTCTTTTGAAATTATAACAAATTTACTAACTTAAATTATCAATATATTTAAAAATTAACAAAATTTTTATTTATTTAGAATTTTTTATATATAACATATCTAGTTAACTATGTCTTGATAAGTTTCGATATGACATCTATATTATATACGAAATAAATAAATAATTTTATTTATCTTTACAATTTAAATTAAATTAACTATTAATATTAATTGAAAAAATATAAAGTTATTTAAAGTGAGTTGACTACAAAATAGTTATCTCATATAAATTTAAAAAAATTATAATATAAGATGGTAAGTTCTGTAAGTGATATGTCATTTTAAATATAAATAATAATATATTTTTTTTTAAAAGTAATTAATCTCAGAGGAGATAATCTCAGAGGTGAATCCCTTCGGCGATTATCCACCCCCGCACATCAAGGCTAACCCCTTCTCTGCATATGACAACCGTGACATGCGGTGACGGGGCCCGGTCTTCGTGGACGACGACGATCTACGCGACGACAAAGGTGTTTGTAGTATTTTTGGGTAATTGGTAACCGAGTTACCCGGACTCGGGTCGTTCTCAAAGGAAGACTATTCAGACACGGATTCAGGCAACGATCGACTTACACAAGAAAACAAAATAAAAATTCTAAACACTCTACTCATAATTTGGGGTTTGGATTAAGCTAAGAATGCAATTTAAGCTAAGATGAAAGCAAGACTCAAACTTTATCGCAAGCAAGACCTCAATTTGCAAGAAAAAGGAAAATAAAAAGAGAAATAACAAGGTACTCCTAGACCCGAGATGGAAGGAAGACACTCATAGCAATCGTCACTCGTGATCAATTAACCTCTCAATCAATTCTCGCTCCCGCAATCAATAACAATATCACATAATCCCTAGCCTACAAAGATGATAGCATAATTGACTCATGGATGGCCTATCTAACCCTAGAATAAATCCATTAAGTAAAGACAAACAAGACTTACGAAATCATGGATCTTAAACGAAGTCTCCAAGTCTCTAGTGCACCCACGAGAATAAATAAGCCGAAAAGTTGTAATTTTGATGGAGAAATATTACAATAAAAATAGGGTCTTGGAGCCCTTAGAGAGAGAATAGAGCAAAAAACTAAAAAGAAAAATTTAGCAAATGAGGCTCCCAAAATACAAAGCAAGATGTCTTTTTATAGTTACACCACAAACACACTAAAAACACGTACATTAAGTAAAACACTCTCGAGCTCTCCACAATTTCTGCAAGCTCGCAGGTTTTGGTTGGCACGGACGCGCACGAGCGCGAGCAGGCGCGCGCGCGAGAAGGCACGGGCGCAGGGCTAGGACACGGCACTCTCGACGTCACTGGGAGATCCACGGGACACGGGCGCGGGCACTGCAAGGCACACTCTCGAGGTTGCGGATTTTTCCACGAGCTCGCGGACTTCAGGAGAGTGACACTTTCCACGAGCTCGCAGGCGCGCGGCTAGGCACGTGGGCGCGGGAAAGTGCGTGGGAATGGTCCCGGTGACCTCTTGATGCTCGATTTGCTCTAACTTCTCGCACTCTTCTCCGTTTGACTTGAAACTTTGACCCACGCTCCTCAAATCCTTTTCTCCTCATCTTGAAATGTGAAAATGGGTGTCACCACACAATTAATAAATACTCTCGGAATGGCTCGGAAATGGCTCGCGTGATAGGATATGGTTCAGACGGCTCGGAAGTATATAGGAAATGGCTAGTTTCCCCATGCATAGTAATGATGGACCTATTCAACACCAAAAAGACAAGAAAATAAGCCGAACCACAAAAACACAATACTAGAATAAAAATGCACGAAATACGATAGAGTGGACCGGTCGACACTAAAACAAACCTAAAAAGACTCTACTATGGCACATAAAACACACGAAAATAAGCACAAAAACACAATAAACAACTCCCCCACACTTAACTCTTTGCTTGTCCGGAAGCAAACAAAACAACAAGTAGCTTGAAAAGAAAAATCGAACGGTCCAAAATTAACGAGCATGAAAAATAAAACCCCCATATCATCCTATTATCCCTAAAATCAAAATCCAATCTGAGAACACGGTCCCCACATAGCGAATCCATACAAAACAAAAATTCGTCCCGAGTTATTCTACACATGATTACTCGATTCAAACTCCCTCGTCTACATACACGTGCAAAAACAATAAATGTTCTACTAAACATATAAACATGATAAGCATCAAACCAATAAGCCAACTCCCATTCTTTTTTTTTTCTTTCTTATTTTATTTTATTTTATTTTATTTTTTATTTTTTTTTATTTTTCATTTAATGAGCTAATTTTTTCAAATGAGAGTCGTTAGGATGATTATTACCTAGGTTTAGCCTCGGGGTTTGTTCCCGAGTTTTCTAGGCCGGTTTCCCGTACTCCTTAACCCGGTTTATCTAGACGACCAACCGAGCCAAGAGGAGCCTAATCCTTTCAACTCCCACGAACTCATTTTCGTGAGCTTCTTTTTCCAAACGAGGTTTCCGGACGAGATGATCTAGGTTTAACCTCGAGGGGTTTCCTCGAGTTTCCTAAACCGATTTCCCGGGCTCATTATTCCAATCCACGAAGTTGCTTGGAATAAGAGGAACCTAATCCGTACTTCCTCGCAAACTCATATTTTTATTCCTTTTTTATTTATTTAATTATTTTTTTTATGGGAGTGGCACACAAGGATACATCACAATTACAATAACTTAATCATCACAACTCAATCGAAATGTACCAAAAGTGCATAGATAACACGTTTACAACGATAATCGAACATAAGGGAAGCATGCCTCAAGACAATCAATCGAGAACAAACAAGGGACAAAACAATTCCGTGAATTCACATGCGGGTTCCAATGTTAACGAATCATCATTCAATTTTAGGACACCGTCAAATTCATCAAGTACATAAAGCATGAACGTTGATAACTAAACCAATCAAAATTCTTGACTCACAACTTAGCTATCTCGACTCTTGAACAAACATTGAGCATCATGCCGGAGAGATGACACAAACACACAAAAACTCAAACAAAACCGGTCCACGACACGACAAATACGAAAAATAAGACGAAAGAAATATCACCTAAACATGCATAATCACAAAAATTCTTCCCCCACACTTCAAACAAAACAATGTCCCTATTGCTTAACAAAAAAGTATAAGAGAGAGCACATAATCATGTAAGTTCATGTGATTAAAACGAAAACGAAACACAATAACCAAAGACACGATAAGAGAACAAACACGGAGACACACAAGAACAATGTAAGAAAAATAAAATAGAAAAATAAAATGCGTACTCTACACGGTGGTGCACACCACCGTATGTCTAATGGTGTTCGTCCGGTGGGAATAGAGCAAATTATTCGAAAGCCATCGAGTGCAAAACAAAGCCATCCGATCGATTGAACAACGAAAACATAGCGATCTATAAACCAACCGGGTACTATGGTCTTCGCGTGTGTTTGCCGTGTGGCGCTTCTTTGCTCGCTTAGCCTTGCGCTTCTTAGAGCATGCTCGTGCTCTCTTCCCACAGCCTCTAGGCCAATCTTGCCTATACTCGGG